TGGTGCTTCTCTGGTGTCAGTGAGGACAAGTGTATCGCATCTTAATCTTGTCGCAAACCCGTTGTGAAATAACTGATTTATAGGCTGAAATGTATGTATATACCATTGTGCAGATAAGATGTCATGCAGTAGGTTACACATCAACCCGAGTCGATGTGAAGAATACAGCCCTGCCCCGACTGAGGATAAGCTGGATGGAGCGTGGGATCACAGAGAGGATCCTCGGGAGACTTAGCGGATCGGCTCAGAGCACGAAGTAGTTACCTATGTGCATGAGCGTCAGTGCAAGCATTTTACATGTTAACTGTACAGTTGAATGCACTTTAATTTTACAATCATAATTAACGCGTAATCATCAATTCTTTACTTAAACCTTCTTAAATATATAACCAATATATTCATGTTTATTCATGTTTCAATCGTAGATACACTTAAAATGCAAACAAGAAAACGCCTATGTGTATGATCACAATATCTACAACTCAGCCATTTATGAGAGACAACAAAACAAATTAATAAATACATAAACATGGCACTTTATTGAGACTAAAACAGCTAAATATACACAATATACTGAAATACTGTGATATTTGTTTGTTGTTTTATGCCGCACTCAGCGATACTCCAGCTATATGACGCGGTCTGTAAATAATCGAGTCTGGACCAGACAAATCCAGTTATTTACATCATGACCATCGATCTCCGTCAATGGGACACGATCTAACACCAAGTTAGCGAGTCTGACCACCCGATCCTGTTAGTCGCCTCTTACAGCAAGTATGGGTTGAGGAAGCTACATATACATCTTGAGGCACTGATACCAGGGGTTACAATAAGAACATTCAGTCAAAACAAGGTTCCTTATCTTCAACAATATTTTTCAAATATGATGACTGACGATCTGTTATGGTATACGTGTCCCATCTACGCTTTCTTCTTGCAAACTATGTCTTTCACTTCTAAACCTCCTAAGCTATTTATTTGTCGATGGTTGTACTCTGAGACTGACACTTTCGCTAGGCACGGTGTCGATGGTTGTACACAAAGACCGCCGCTGTCTCTAGGCACGGTGTCGATGGTTGTACACAAAGACCGACACTGTCTCTAGGCACGGTGTCGATGGTTATACGCTGAGACTGCCACTGTCTCTAGGCACGGTGTCGATGGTTGTACACTAAGACCGACACTGTCTCTAGGCGCGGTGTCGATGGTTGTACACAATGACCGACACTGTCTCTAGGCACGGTGTCGATGGTTATACACTGAGACTGCCACTGTCTCTAGGCGCGGTGTCGATGGTTGTACACTAAGACCGACACTGTCTCTAGGCACGGTGTCGATGGTTATACACTGAGACTGTCACTGTCTCTAGGCACGGTGTCGATGGTTGTACACTAAGACTGACGCTGTCTGTTGGCACGGTGTCGATGGTTGTACACTAAGACTGACACTGTCTCTAGGCACGGTGTCGATGGTTATACACTGAGACTGCCACTGTCTCTTGGCACGATGTCGATGGTTGTACACTAAGACTGACACTGTCTCTAGGCACGGTGTCGATGATTGTACACTAAGACTGACGCTGTCTCTAGGCACGGTGTCGATGGTTGTACACTAAGATTGCCACTGTCTCTGGGCACGGTGTCGATGGTTGTACACTAAGACTGACGCTGTCTCTAGGCACGGTGTCGATGGTTATACACTAAGACTGACACTGTCTCTAGGCACGGTGTCGATGGTTGTACACTAAGACTGACGCTGTCTCTAGGCACGGTGTCGATGGTTGTACACTAAGACTGCCACTGTCTCTAGGCACGGTGTCGATGGTTGTACACTAAGACTGACGCTGTCTCTAGGCACGATGTCGATGGTTATACACTAAGACTGACGCTGTCTCTAGGCACGGTCTCGATCATGGTACACTAAGACTGCCACTGACTCAAGATTTGTCGTACATATATATGGAACAATAAACCCATTTGATATCCTTGAAGCTTGGCCAACTCAACAATGCCTACACTGCTTGCAACTCAATCATCGGTCAGTACATGTTCACGCGAGGGAATTCCTAGATATTTCCCTGAGTATTTGGAACTGGTCATTTCTAGAATACAGCCTTGAGAAAGTAAAATGGACGTCAAACTGTAGGAACACGGAGCCTTTCTACTGAACTGAAAAATTCTGAACTTATGTTCATGGGGCGTTATATATATATATATATATATCTGCCGACACATATTTGACCCATTATATTGCCCTTTTCGATTGTAAAATAATCATGCGTGTTTCAATATGATTTGTTCCTTATTGATTGATATTGATTGATATTGTGCGGTTATTTACTGATTTCAGAACTTAATTTTTTATGTACCGATGCTGGGTTAACTTCCCGTTTCCGGGAACTCGTAAACCAATAAGACCGCCTCCATGGTCTTGTGGTAGAGCGTCCGCCCGGAGAGCGGAAGGTCCAGGGTTCGATCACGGGCCGCGTCATACAAAAAGACGTTAAAAGATTGTACTTGTTGTTACCCTGTCTGGCGCTCGGCATTAAGGGACTAAACCAAGGACTGGTCGGCTCGGAGTCAGTATACTGTGTCTGAGTGGGGTATTCATGTTAAACTGCGGCATGGTATCTCAGTGAGCTAGCACTATAAATCGGCATCAGTCCGGACAGTCCGGTGTCTGGGGGGGGGGAGTGTAGGGGTTACATATCACAACAAGTTCTAAGTTATGTTAATACTTGCTATACAAGTATTCAGAGACATGAGTCACGCTTACCCTACTTGAACAGCTCGTTCCGCCGCATACAATACTTCTATAAGGGACCATCCAGGGACGCTTTTCACCAGTCAACGGTCCGTGCTACGAAGCTCTTTGAGCATAGACTTTCAGAGGAAAACAGTTACGTTACTGGTCATATAGTCTGTCTCACAGTCCCTCAGCCATATAACTTGCCCTACCACCCAGCCCTTGTCGTAATGATGTCGCCCTAAATGAAGCAAGTCTAGATTTCCTACAGGTCTCCCTCCAATATCACTGGGGCTCCTTTTCAATTAAATGTAGTAGATTATTTCTATCAAAATAATATATTTTCAGAGATAAAGCGTTAGTCAACTGGTCATATGTCAGATGTTTCGGAGGAGATGGAGGTGGGGTAAAGCTGAGACGGGGTGGTGTGAAGGCGAGATTGGGTGGGGTGAAGGTGGGTTAGGATGGTATGAATGTGATTAGATGAAGGTGGGATGGGATTGGATGGAGGTGAGATGGGATGAAGGTGGGATGGGGTGAAGGTGGGATCGGATGAAGGTGGGATGGGGTGAAGGTGGGATCGGATGAAGGTGGGATGGGATCGGGTGAAGGTAGGATGGGATCGGGTGAAGGTGGGATGGGGTGAAGGTAGGATGGGATCGGGTGAAGGTGGGATGGGGTGAAGGTAGGATGGGGTGAAGGTAGGATGGGATGAAGATGAGATGGGATGAAGATGAGATGGGATCGGGTGAAGGTGGGATTAGGTGAAGGTAGGATGGGGTGAAGGTGGGATAAGGTGAAGGTGAGATGGGATGAAGGTGGGATGGGATAAGTTGAAGGTGGGACGGGATGAAGGTTGGATGGCATTTGGTGAACTTGGGACGGGATGAAGGTGGGATTAGGTGAAGGTGCGGTTGGATGAAGGTGAGACGGGATGAAGGTGGGATGGGATAAGTTGAAGGTGGCACGGGATGAAGGTGGGATGGCATTTGGTGAACGTGGGACGGGATGAAGGTGGGATGGCATTTGGTGAAGGTGGGGTTGGATAAAGGTGGAGTGGGAGTGGATTAAGGTGGGACGGGATGAAGGTGGGATGGGATTGGGTGATGGTGGGGTTGGATGAAGATGGGATGGCATTTGGTGAAGGTGGGATGGGATGAAGGTGGGATTGGATGAGGTGAAGGTGGGACGGGTTGAAGGTGGGATGATTGGTTGAAGGTGGGATGAAGGTGGGATGGGATAAAGGTGGGATGGGTTGAAGGTGGGATGGGTTGAAGGTTGGATGGGATGGGTTGAAGGTGGGATGGGTTAAAGGTGGGATGGGTCGAAGGTGGGATGGGATTGGGTGAAGGTTGGGTTGGATGAAGGAGGGATTGGTTGAAGCAGGGATTGGGTGACGGTGGGACGGGATGAAGGTGGGATGGGGTGAAGGTGGGATTGGATGAGGGTGGGATGGGGTGAAGGTGGGATGGGGTGAAGCTGGGATGAGGTGAAGGTGGGACGGAGTGAGGGTGTGATGGCATTTGGTGAAGGTGGGGTTGGATGAAGGTGGGAGTGGATTGGGTGAAGGTGGGGTTGGATGAAGGTGGGATGGGATGAGTTGAAGGTGGGACTGGATGAAGGTGGGATGGGATTGGGTGGAGATGTGATAGAATTGGGTGTAGTTGGGACGTATGAAGCTGGGATGGGATTGGGTGAAGGTGGGATGGGGTGAAGGTTGGATGGGATGAGTTGAAGGTGGACTGGATGAAGGTGGGATGGGATTGGGTGGAGGTGTGATGGGATTGTGTGAAAGTGGGATAGGGTGAAGGTGGAATGGGATTGGGTGAAGGTGGGATTGGATGAAGGTGGGATGGGATTGGGTAAAGGTGGGATGGGATTGGGTGAAGGTGGGATGGGATTGGGTGAAGGTGGGATGGGATGAGTTGAAGGTGGGACTCGATGAAAGTGGGATGGGATTGGGTGAAGTTGGGACGTATGAAGGTGGGATGGGATGGGATGAAGTCGGGATGGGATTGGCTGAAGGTGAGATGGGATGAAGGTGGGATGGGATTAGTTGAAGGTGGGATGGGATGAAGGTGGGATGGGGGTGAAGGTGGGATGGGTGAAGGTTGGATGGGATGAGTTGAAGGTTGGACTGGATGAAGGTGGGATGGGATTGGGTGAAGTTGGGACGTATGAAGGTGGGATGGGATGGGATGAAGTCGGGATGGGATTGGCTGAAGGTGAGATGGGATGAAGGTGGGATGGGATTAGTTGAAGGTGGGATGGGATGAAGGTGGGACGGGATGAAGGTGGGATGGGATTGGGTGAAGTTGGGATGGGATTAGTTGAAGGTGGGATGGGATTGGGTGAAGGTGGGATTGGGTGAAGGTGGGATGGGATGAAGGTGGGAAGTATGAAGGTGGGATGGGATTGGTGAAGTCGGGATGGGATTGGGTGAAGGTGGGATGGGATGGGCTGAAGTCGGGATGGGATAGGGTGAAGGTGTGATAGGATGGGGTGAAGGTGGGATGGGATGGGGTGAAGGTGGGATGGCATTTGGTGAAGGTGGGATGGGATGGGGTGAAGGTGGGGTGGCATTTTGGTGAAGGTGGGATTGGTGAAGGTGGGATTGGGTGAAGGTGGGATGGGATGAAGGTGGGATGGGATGAGTTGAAGGTGGGTCTGGATGAAGGTGGGATGGGATTGGGTGGAGGTGTGATGGGATTGGGTGAAGTTGGGACGTATGAAGGTTGAATGTGATGAGGTGAAGTCGGGATGGGTTTGGGTGAAGGTGTGATGGGATGGGGTGAAGGTGGGATGGCATTTGGTGAAGGTGGGATGGGATGAGGTGAAGTCGGGATGGGTTTGGGTGAAGTCGGGATGGGATTGGGTGAAGGGTGGGATGGGATGGGGTGAATCGGGTAGGATGGGGTGAAGATGGGATGGCATTTGGTGATGGAGGGATGGCATTTGGTGAAGGTGGGATGGGATGGGGTGAAGGTGGGATTGGTGAAGGTGAGATGGGATGAAGCTGGGGTGGGACGTATGAAGGTTGGATGGGATTGGGTGAAGGTGGGATGGGATGGGGTGAAGTCGGGATTGGATGGGGTGAAGATGTGATGGCATTTCGTGAAGGTGGGATGGGATGAAGGTGGGATGGGATGGGGTGAAGGTGGGATGGGATGAAGGTGGGATGGGATGAAGGTGGGATGGGATCGGATGAAGGTGGGATGGGGTGAAGGTGGGATGGGATGAAGGTGGGATGTGATGGGGTGAAGGTGGGATGGGATGAAGCTGGGGTGGGACGTATGAAGGTGGGATGGGATTGGGTGAAGGTGGGATGGGGTGAAGGTGGAATGGGATTGGGTGAAGGTGGGATGGGACGTCATCACGTCACAGGCAGCATGGGTTGTATACTCCCCAGGGAGCTGAAAATTAAAATCGGGTACACACTGATTCATTGACCGGGGTAATAATGTAGCTCTGTGGGCATGCATCTTGTGTTTTTAACCAAACGCAATATAAGTTCGCATCATAATTATCATAGCTGTCAGTGTCATAAACTACCCTGCTCTGTTCCTGAACACGGGCCACAGATTAACAGTATGTAGGAAGCTGTGTGGACCAGAGTGAGGGTGTGTAGTGTTAGATACACGGAAGATGGGCAAATGCTCCAGGCTCTTTCTGCATCACAGAACGTCGCCAACATGAATTCCAATAAAAGTTATTTCACTAATACATATTAAAAAATATGCAAACATTCAAATTGTTAGGTATTTAACAGTTTATGCACACAAGCGATTTTATCAAACACAGATTGCCACCTCCAACGTCACCGAGACGCCTGTAGGCCAAGCTTTGAAAGTAAACACTGTTGAGGCATACGTCTAATGTTACATTATTGTACAGGTATGAATGGGGTTATATTTACATGCATAATCATACATAAGTATTCATGCCTCAGTGGTCATGCATTACTCTGTGTTTGTATTCTTCCAATAAAAAGGCGTATGAGGAGGTTTGAATAGCAACCGTTGACACTATCACACACCACGTGACAAGGTGAAAGACACATTGAACGCCTCTCACAACACAACCCCCGGTCTATTTCAGTTTATTTCGTGGTCAAGTCATTGTTTTTTCAAACGAACCTATATTTTATTCAAGTGATTAATTTAGAAATGGGTCTGCACACAGAATCTCCAAGGAAGCAGCCAGTCTTCACTTTAAGTACTATGCGTTTCTACCAAGCATGATACGCTACACTAAACAGCGTAATGACACTGTCACTGTCCACATTAAGCATTCAACAGTACTGTATCCATTTCAACTGGCTTAATACCTGCAAATAGTAGCTTCTTTGAGAGGCATTTAGAAGTCGGAGTACTCAGTAAGGATAAGATATATGCATGATAACTTCTTTATTACAATTAGGAGCGACGTTTCGGTGTAGGTTCTAACACTGTTATCAAGGAAGTGATGTACAGAGTATGGTTGACAAGTATATATACAGGATAGGAAGGAGTGTTATACAGTGGAGTAGGTTTAAGACGCAGTTTCACTGGAGTGGAGAAGCCTGCTATGTAAGAAGGGTAAAACACATTGGCCGGTGAAGCCTGTAATAAACACAGAAGGGTGAAGCCTGTAATATAAACAACAAAGGGATTGTAATTGAATAAAAAAGCTGTTCATCCATATATCTTATCCTTCCTTACTACAAATAGTAGAGAGTAGCTGTTTTGGGAACCCGCTACGAGTTTCGCAAAGCCATTAAGTCTGGCTTGTGTTGAAGGCGAGTCTGACTGATAGGGCGACCCAACACTCTATAGCAGTCCAGTAATGTGTCCAAAGGATGTCCAATTGACATGACTGAAGGGAAATGAGACATTATATAAGTAAATAGATTACTCACCAAATGTAGAAGAGACGTCTTAGCACACTACATGTCTTACATATTTCCTAATATCATATTGAATAACGTTTACATACTGCCTAAAACAGGCTATTAATAGCGTTTGGGGAATCCTGACGTACACGTCTGTTGAAGTGTTTGTCAATGACGGACTGGAGGTCGCTTATCGGGCCTTTACACAGGATGGCGGCCTTTGTGCCTACCGTGTGCGACCATGAAATTTGCCAGGTCGTCGTTGGAGGCTCAACGTAGGCAGAATGGTTGCCTAGGTCGTTCCAAGGTGGTACACAGGAGGTTCAGACATCGCGATGGACGCCATGGTCGCCGTGAATTATTGAACATGTTCAGAACAGTCGCACAAAGGTCGCCAAGGAGATTGGTTGCTCAAAGGAGGCACAAGCATTGCCGTTGTTGCAGAATGAAGGCACAGTGGTCACCCAATGGTCGCCAGGTAGAAGATGCGTTCTGCTGCAAATGTATTCCGTTAATCTGGGCGATGCTTCTTACTCCCATGTGCCTCCTTTGGGCGACCAACAGCGTGCACTGAACGATGACTGTAGCGAACGCCGTGCCTCCATTCGGCGACCCCGGCAACCCTTGAGACACCACGGCAATGCTTCTGTCTCTTTTCTGCCTCCCTTGAGCTACCTGTAGTGCCTCCTCAGCCTGCCTATAAATAGAGGGTTTGTACCTGCAGTGTTTCACTGTGGTTGCAGACGCTGAACAACTCGAGCAGTAACTGCTGAACAACTGCTGGAGCAGTTACACAGAAACATGATTTTCTGGGTTTAGGCGACCATTGAGCGTCCTGGCCAGTTTTTGATCGCTCAAAGGTGGCACAAAGGTCGCAGCCCTGTGTAAAGGAGGCTTTAGTTGCAAACTCAAAAGTGAGACGCAACACTACCGCGTGCACTGCTGATAACAGAACACCCCCGTCACGCTAGGACTGATCTGTTTGTTTGTGGTGTAACGCCGCGCTCAGCAATATTCCAGCTATGTGACGGCGGTCTGTAAATAAGTCTGGACCAGACACTCCAGTGATTCACATCATGAGCATCGATCCACGCAATTGGGATACGATTACATGCATCAACCAAGTCAACGAGCCTAATCCCCCGATCCCGTTAGACTTTTACGACAAGCACGGTCGCCTCTTATGGCAAGCATGGGTTGCCTAACACACTTCTACCCGGATCTTCACGGGTCGACTGATATATCACAGAGGAGGTTGAGTAGCGGAGTGGTAAAACCGCTTGTTTGTCGAAACGATCACTCGGGTTCGATTCCAACATGTGTGCGGCACATTCTTGATTGAACATTTGCTGAAACTCACTGGGAGAATTATTGCCGGAGCGACTTTCAAACAAGAATTAAACTTGTTATATACTTCTCGTGATGTGTTTCACCACATACATATTCTGAAAAGAAATAAAGTGGCAAAACCCTTTCCATATCCAATAGAAATCTCTGCATAAAACAGAGTCGATTGTACGATTCCGACTCTGTCATGACCACGTGTATGAATCACTATCAAAATCAAACGAAAAGGTTAGCGTATCCTGCCCCACCGATGGCATCCGTCACAAACACATGCAAAGGCAAGCCACTTGTTCATCTGAAAAAAACACGCGAACATGACATCATTTTTGTCACTGATGAGTTAAATTTGGAAAGGTCGTCCACGCGTAGACCATATGCCTTTTTGAAAGTTTTCCTGATGCGTTGAATGGAGCCATTAATGAAAAACATCATTGAAACCATTAATGGAGCGAAATATGGTTTAGGTACCAAGAAGCGTGTACAGTAATGGCACAACAGATCAGGGAGTACCGCGTATAGCATCCCGTCGGTTTATAATCTGTTCAATATTCTCTCGACTAGTTAAGTGTGAATGCATTTACGATAATAGGTGGCAATGGTCGTGCAAACCGACGATATGGTACAGTATATAACCTATACTTATTTTACATTTAGTAGTTATTCATCAGGGTGGATCACATTGTCTTTATACTTATATTGGTTTACAGACTTTAGATAAAGAGATGTTAGTACCTATTCTATATTCACAGTATGTACAGGACCATCAAATGATATTTTTATGATATATTGACTATACCTGTTCAAGGATAGTGACTGAATATTAATAGTTAGAAACCATCACAACCAAAATGGCAAACTTTGTACCAAAGCATCTACCGATGTGTTTATAGTAAAGATGCGTCAGTATTTTTTTATACTCAAAGCGTTTACAACGCTCTATATAAGTTGCTGTGGACAAGTTATTCAATGATAACGAATGAGTATTGATGGTAAGAAACGATCACTTACAAAGTGGCAAATTTTATGCCATGATATTTATTATAACACTCTAAGCTCGGTGACTACAGAGGACAGCACAGGACCGAGGAATCTGGCGGACTGTGGTCGGCGGCCTATGCCTCGGGAGGAGCGATGGGCATAACTGAACTGACTGACTAAGCTCGGTATACCTATGGCATCGGTAAATTTACCACAGGTTACATTTCATCTAAATAAAATTACATTGCTCTCAAAACCATGTTTATTCAAAACACATTGTTTGAACTTATTTACTGATTATCAAACTGAGATAACCACTCAGCCTGTTTTATATAATTAATTTAATAGAATTCTCCCCAGGAGCCTTCAGCTTCAGCATCACCCATAAGTTGTAACACAGTGGACATGCTAGGACTCGTGGGTGGTGGGCTGACGAGCCTTCAGCTTCAGCATCCCCATAAGTTGTAACACAGTGGACATGCTAGGACTCGTGGGTGGTGGGCTGAGGAGCCTTCAGCTTCAGCATCACCCATAAGTTGTAACACAGTGGACATGCTGGGACTCGTGGGTGGTGGGCTGAGGAGCCTTCAGCTTCAGCATCACCCATAAGTTGTAACACAGTGGACATGCTAGGACTCGTGGGTGGTGGGCTGAGGAGCCTTCAGCTTCAGCATCACCCATAAGTTGTAACACAGTATACATGCTAGGACTCGTGGGTGGTGGGCTGAGGAGCCTTCAGCTTCAGCATCATCCATAAGTTGTAACACAGTGGACATGCTAGGACTCGTGGGTGGTGGGCTGAGGCAAAAGCCACCAAAGTGCTTATTTTATTTTTATCTCCTATGGTTTTTATATTTTTTTCCAAACTACAAAAAACATTCCAGCAATCATATGATTCCATCACTTCTTATTAAAAATATTGAAACCTCCAGTATTCTTTTTACAGGTTAACAAAATATAAAAACGTCACTGTTAATTGAAGGGGTTTAGCCGACAAAAATAAGAGAAAATAAAATAATGAATATTTGGCGTAGAAAGAAATCCTCCATAATCTGCCTACAAGATATACACATTTCGAAGAAGGATGAAGATATAATGCGAAATGAATGGGGTCTCCAGAGTATAAAAGAACCATATAAATCTAATGTAAGAGAAGTGGCTATGTTGTTTAATAACAGTTTTCAACTTCAAATTTACAAGGTGAAAAAAGGAAGAAGACGGAAGCTTTATCATTGTGGATATAGGTCTAGAATGAATAAGGATAACCCTTGACTAACATATAGGATAACCCTTACTAATGTTTACCCTAAGATGATACTACTTTTATTATGCTTATTTAAGAATACAGAAGACTTTAAAAATGAATCAAAGTTTTATGTGGTGATTTGGTCCTTGGTCCTTCCATGTGACTAGAAAACGACAAGCATAATAGATTACAACCCTATAGCTAGAGGCTGTGTTACAGCTGTGACCTGGTAGATGTATGGGGAACATTAAACAGAAATAGTCATAATAGACTTTGTGGAAACAAAACCCAAGGTCTTGATTTCTTCTCGTCTCAGAATATTTTCCAGAGAAATCGACACTAGTTCCGGATCAGTTATAAGAAACTTCTGGCTTAATTAATAATAACCGATTTGTTTGACTTTCAACATTGACATGTCTTTATTGAGGTTCTATCGAAACATTACATATAAGTAAATCTTCTTTTCAAATATTAACCAGCATATTCATACAGATAACACATTTTGGTAAGATGTCTTCATGCTATCATGCCTTCTTACTCCTATTTATTCTGATGTGTACATCACTAGGCTTCAACGTGAACCTTATCTGTCGTGTAAACATCAATCTTTTATCATTCAACCTTGTAATAAAGTACTGTCTGAAATGTCTGGCTTCATTTAATAAATACGAGTTATAGGACTATCAAAAGAGCATATATCAAAATAACGCAAATTGACCTAATCTAGCCGGTCCTAACTGACATTGTTATTACCCTTACAATGTACTTTTATAGGGTAAAATGATGATCAACTTAGAACATATTCGTGTGTCATGCATGTTTGAAATGGCCTATAACCTGAGGTAATTACCTGACACCAGTCCAGAGGTGATGACCTCACACCGTCCCGTGCAAACAGGTGCAAATGTCACACGAGTTGGGGGTGGTCTCAAAATATTGCTGTTATTGTACTTAATTGACATGCATTGATGGGGTAGCAATTTAGGATATGTACTGCATATAATTGCATGGAAACATGTTGGGATAGTTAAGAGCTATGCAACTGGATGAATATTGGAAGGTTGTGGTTTTGGAATCAAGAAGTATGTGTAGTTCTAAAGATTGGTCCTAGCATTTATCTCCGCCACTTAAGACAAGGTGACCCTGTTGGGCCGCCAGCACTTTACTGGTTTCTTATTCAGCCGAATTTTCTCCATGAGTTGAACTTTCGTTTCATATGGTCTGAATTCGTCAATGTCATATATTGTTGTATGGTCGCCTTCAGACTACTCATGGTTGGGGCGACAGTATCTGATTCCCGTCCGTAATATTAACTGGGGGCCACGGGTTGCCCAGTCGTCTGAGGCGCCGCGGTTCGCTGTGTAGAGTGGCGTCCCTTGGGCACGCCAGAAACCTATGATTGTGGGTTCGAATACCGATTCGCCCCGATTATGTTTCTAGGTTTGTCAGCACCATACCCGTGTTCGTGGATTTCACCGAAGTGGTAAACGTCTGAGACCTGCATCATTTCGGCCTTTCCTCCCACATTAAGCTGACACGCCGTGATATAACTGGAATACTGTTAAAAGCGGCGTTAAACCCAACTCACTCACTCACTCACTACAAGTCAGGGTTACCTTCTGCTCATAAAGCTTATGCACTACACGCATAATCACCCTGTATCAAAGCTGTCTGATCTCCTTTTACGTCCCAGTTTTGTTTTTGAGACCACACCTATACCTGTTTTCTTTTATTCATCATATCGAAAACCCCATAGCTTGGAATAATTTATAAATGGTTTCCCTCTATCTCTCTAAAGTGTAAAGAGCTTGTATACATTTCCCAGCAATTATTTTTGTTTGTGGATTAGATGTTTTATGAAGACTACATTATTATCATTATAACGGAGTCACGTGCGCATACTTCTATAGTCCGTTTCAGACTGTCATCATTGGACTTAGAATAAATGTGAACTTCCTGTTTTCGTTCGAATTTGTCTCCTGTAAACTTATCGATAAGACCCCTTGTGACTGAAATACTTCAAGCCACAGGTTACTCAATATTTCAATAACAACAGCCTGTTAAAAAGGATATCCTTTTTTAACAGACAAAATCATTTTTCTAGCATTTCCGACAGTACTTTAACATATTCACATGTATATAACCTTCCTGCTTCACATTTCTGTACATCACCTGCTTGATAACGGTGTTAGTATCGACTTCGAAACGTCGCGTTCATTGCCATAGCGAAGTTGTATGTTCATAGACTTATCTCCCTTGTGTACAAATAACTTATAATAATTTTTTTAATTTGAAGTATACACGATATACGGCTTTTCCATTGGACGAGAGGTCGGTCACATGACTGCGAAATTGACG